GGTTGCATCAGTATTAAAGGGGCTATGCTTGATTTTTGCATCAGATGGGCGAAGCGCCTTGCTGCAAGAGGGCAAAAAGCAGCTTCGCCGCGGCGCGCCGAGCCGCCACAGGGCCCCCTCCTGCTGGCCACAAGCACTCCCTAAACAACCAAGCCATGCGCGCTGCACCTGGATGCACAGCCGCTCGCTGCCCTCCGCCTTAGAGTCCTCAAACGCATTTATGATGCGCGCCAGGTAGAGCGGCGCAGCCACGTCCTCGGGGATGAGGTACACGTGGTCGCCCACGTCGTAGCGGTTGTCGCAAAACTGGAAGGACGAGTAATATTGGTAGTCGCCCTGCGGCCGGCAAGCGAGGGGCGGACGCTTTGGGGAGGCGTTCTTGCTCTGCGACATAGGGCTGCGGCTGGGCGGACGGCAGGCGCCGGCCGTGCCGGGCCGGCGTCCAGTGCGCGGAGCAATTATCCAATGACACGCAGGGGAGTGAAGGGGGGGGGGCGTTGCGCACCTCGTCCTCAGGGGCCCCGATCCAGTTGAACGTCAGGTTCTGGGGCGCCCGCGGGCCCTCCGACACAGGCATGGTCATGGGCAGGGCGCCCTCCACTGCTTCGGGCACTGGCACCAAAATCGGCGCAGGCACTAGAGCGGGTGTGGGCACCAGAGCAGGTGCGGGCACTAAAGCAGGCGCGGGCGCGGGCGCGGGCAGCGGTATCGCCGCCGCCGGCAGCGCCGCCGGTTGCTCCGCAACGGCTGCCGCTGGGGCCTCGGGCGCTGAGACGACCTCCGGCGCGGCAGGGCCCGAGCCATCAGCCACTGCAGGCACGGCTGCGGCCTCGGGTGCTGCGGCTGCTTCCACTGCGAGAGACGCTGGCTGCTGCTCAACGGCCGCTGCACTGGGTGCATGGGGCGCTTCTGGGGGGGTGCTCGGCAGTGCTGGGGGCGCTGCCACGTCGGCCATGGTCGCCGTCCTGTGCAGGCCGTCGCCTGCGAACCGCAGCAGGAGAAAATGCGGCGGGCATTGGCACTTGTCATGCCTGAAAACATCAAGCCTGCCGCACACGCGAGTGCTCGGCCCAATTGCTCAAGGCAATGCGGCAGATGTCATGCACAGCCAGCCGCAGAGCGCCGGCAGTGAACTGTGCATCATTCAAATGAGACAGTTGGCCCACCCACTGGACCACGGGTGATATTATGGCATGTACAGAGCCTGATACCCAAAACAGCCGCCGCCTCGCCAGCTCGCTCGCCTGAGCCTACGCGCCCACTTGCCTTGGCCTGGGTCGCCCCGGGTCGCCGCCTGGGTCGCACGAGGCTCTTGCCCCAAATGAGTATCCTCGCTCACGACCCCCGCGGAACGACGGCAGCCGCTACAACAGCGGCTTGCAAGGGCGAGGCCGCGCTGGGGCCACTTGCGTGGGAAGCCGCGCCTTGCCTCGAACTACCGGTAGATCAGAGTCAACGGAAGAGCCAGAAGCAGAGCCTCTCAATCGTGAAGGCAGCCGTGGGTGGATGCGCCGGAGAGGGCCAACGCAGCAGGCCACCCAGCTGAGCGCGCCCACGATCTAAGCCCGAAATTTGATGAGAGAAAAATGTCTTACAGGCTGCAACGAATGCCTGCAGGCAAGTCGTGCAGCACGCTTAGCCACAGGCACGAATCGTTTTTCAGATCTCTACAAGTGACTAGGCCGCGGCTTCCAACATTAGTCGAAATGTAGCTGATGATCAAGAAATCAGCGACGCACTACCGCAGCAGGCACGACTTGCGGGGCTGCCCAAGGTTGCCCACGCCTGCGTGGGCAACAACAGCCCGAGCCTGGCCGTCGCCGACGGAAGGCGTTTGGGCGGTGGACGGCTTTGTACACGTCAATGCTGGCCTCCCACATTGTCGCTACAGTACACCGTGCTGGTGTGTCATACCGCAAGGCACGCTACACTGGATGAGGCACGCCCGCACTCTGTTGCCCCTTCCCCATGCTTGTGGGTCCAACAAGGAACACGGGTCCGATGCCGGAATGTGCTGCCCAAAGGTGCAAGGACTTTGCCATGAAATTTCCTCCAGATGAGTGACTTCGTAACAATGCAGAATCTTGTGTCGACTTGATGAGAGTGCAATGCAGGCACAACCAAGTGCCAGGAGTGCCTCCTGCCAGGAGCTACATATCCTTTGGGCCTGCGCATTCACAGCCCCACGCCACAGATGGCGCATGTATAGACGGCATATGCGTGTGCGTGCGTGCGTGCGTGCGTTCGAGTGTGTGTGTGTGTGTGTGTGTGTGTGTGTGTGTGTGTGTGTGTGTGTGCGTGCGTGTGTGTGTGTGTGTGTGTTGGACTGGCATTGTCTTTTAGGCACGCTGCACATGCAAACATAGCGTTTCAGTCCTGTGCGCAACACAAAGCACAACAACAGCATCGATAGATCGACTTACTGTATCATATCAAGCAATCATCGTGCGTTCGGGTGCACGACACACGCGCGCGCACAAACAATTTTTGCGACCATCTGATGGGGGAACAGCGTTTTCAACATGTTCAGTCAGGAGCGATCATAAAGATTACATTGCACCACAATACAAGTCACCAGCAGCGACCGGAAACAAACCCTGGAAAGGCGTCACGCGCAACCAGCTCCGGCGCGCGCGCAGCCAGCTCCAGGTGATTCGCCTTTCCGCCTGCCGCTTGGATCTCACTGCTTTTCGTTGAGGCCGCGCTCGCAACTGCAAGGTAGGGCAATTGCTCGGTCTAGATAGGGGAGCGTCCAGCCCTCTAGCATGATACTGAGCGAGGGATACGGTTACTCTAGCTGTCTCGGGATGGCTGCTCACGGGGATGCATGGCTGTGGCTATGTGTGAGTGTGTGTGCGTGTGTGTGTGTGTGTGTGTGTGTGTGAGCCAACTGCCCCTTGTCTCCTCCTCAAGGCACTCGGCAGAAGGGTGATCAGACTCTGGATTACACGAGATTGGTATCCATAGCAAAAGGCAATGCAAGGGGAAGGAGGTTGAGCATGCAACTGCCCTTGCAGTAGCGAGCGCGGCGTTGAAAGCAGCGAGATCCAAGCGGCAGGCGGAAAGGCGGGTGGCGGGCCACCCGGAACTGGCTTCACGCCGGAGCTGGTTGCGCGTGTCAGTCGCCGCGCGCCATGCGCGCCGGTCCTCATTGGAAAAGCATGTCTCTCAAGGGGCCAGCCTTGTCCCAACCGTATAGGGCGGGGGAACGGGGGGCAATGTGTGAACAGTGGTGCAACGAGCGCAAGCAAATGTTGTGGCGGGTGTGTGCAATAATGACACACCAGGCTGGTGAGGAGCAAGGTTCGTAGGTAATGTGTGCTGTCGTCAACGGACGTGGATGCGAAACCGGCGCCAGGTGTTTGGCAAGCGGACAGACATGGCGAGCAGCAGACAACCCATAGACATTCGCTTTGTAGGCAGCTGTACGTTTGTCACGCATTGCCAGATAACCTGGGGTTGTTGCTACATCATGCACGCATGGCGTCGCTGAAGAGGACGAAAGGATCTGGACAGGACCACCAATGGTGACAGAACGCGCATGCGCAGCCGGACATGTGTGCGAGCGGGTGTGCCTGTGCACCAAAATCAAGCCAATATAGCAAGCGCACAGGTCGTGCTGGCCGGGGGCCTGAGTGCAAGCACACATAGCAGGCGGCACCTGCAGCCTGCCTGAGAGCTGCGCTTGCAGCTGCTGGTCAGTTAGCAGTTGTGTAATGTCTCATGAGACATTAAAAGGCGATGCACACCACCATATTGCGGATGTTGCAAGAGAACGCGCCAGCACTGATCCAACTGTCGTCAACTTCGGCTGGAAGTCCAAACTGACCAAGAGCGCTGACCAAGGACGACGTGAATCCCGTGCACGTGTTGGCGACCACATTGCCCGAGGCATCAGAACCCGACCACCAGCTCGCCGAGCTTGCGTACACGCCTGCATCTTGCAAATTCCTCGGGATGGTGCCCCCCAGCAGGGTCGCAAAGTTGCTGGCCAAGATGACGCCGCTCGAAGACTGAACAGGCAGGCTGCTGGGAACCCCGTAAAGGGCAGTGAAACCGGAAATCTGGTCGGATGCAGACGTCGAAAAGAATGCATGCGTCAACACAAGCCCGGCGGGCCTGAACGGCGAGGCGCTGCACAGGGCGTCAGCGCCAGACCGGCCACCAAGGTTTCCGTTCCTGAGCGTGTCAGATGCACGGTAGAGCACCACCCGCGAGCGCAGGTATTGCGCCGCAGGGACGCCGCCCAGTGTGACCGCATTGAGGTTGGCCAGGTCCGTGGATTTCGCAAAAATGCTGAAGTCGATGGCAGACACGTTGGCTACGATAGCTGTCAGGTTGGTGAGGCTGGTGTTGACCGCCGCGACAGCCGCCGCGCCCGTGGTGACGACAGACTTGATGGACTCAACGGTGGCGTTGGCCAGGGAGATTGCTGCCTCATTTGCCTGCTGCGCAGATCTGAGGGCTGCCAGGGTGTTGTTGAGCGCCCTGATGTCCTGGACAGCGGTCTGGTTTGCCGCCTGAAGCAAGGTCAGCTGCTGGGTGGTGAGTGCGTCGGCAGCTGCAAGGGCGGCGATCTGCTGGGCAACGCCGGCTGGGACGGTGGTGTTGGTCGTGATTGCCTTCAGGTCTTGCACTTGGGCGGTGAGCGCGGCGACCTCTCGCGATGCGGTCTGGTTTGCTGCAGTAAGAGCCGCAATCTCTCGAGCAGCATCGGACGCATTGGCCTGCAGGCCCTGCGTGTTGGCGGTGAGCACCGCGATTGCCGCCCGTAGTGCATCTATCTCGGCACGCAGCGCTGCAGTCTGGTTGCTTTCTTTCACAAGAGTGGCCACAGAGCTGGCCTGGGCGGCGGCGGCGTTGACCTTGGGCTCGAGGGCTGCCAGGTCACTGGACAATTTGTTGACCTGGGCGGCGGTGGCCACGCCGCAGCTATAGTGCAATTTGGTGGGGTCCTGAGAGAGTGGTGAGGTGCGATCAACACGAGGGTGCGTGGTGGTGGGCAAGCTAAGATGGTCCTAAGAAGACACAGTCCTCTAGAGTTTCAGACGTTGTCATCATACCAACTGGCATGTGAGTGTATGTTGCTGTGGGTGGTTGTCGTGCACTTGTAGCCTGAGAGTGCTGGTAGCTGGTGCTGATGGATTCACGAACACGTCACCACACACAGCATTGGTCGTTGCTGCCAGCTGCATGCCACACCCACCAGCAGGCGCCACCAAGCAACACACAGGCACCCCCGGATGCACACATGGAACGATGCTGTACGCATACATGCGCGCACCTTGCTGTTGACCGTTGCGTTGGCAGGTGCCAGCAGCTCGCTGCACAGCTGGTCTATGAGGGCTGGGCCGGCCTTGGAGGAGCATTTGGTCAAAGCCTTGACGGGCGCGCACTGCGCAAAGGGACGTGCGTGCGGCAGCGCACAATCGCTTGTTATGTGAAGGGTTCTAGCTGTGTGTATTCCAGACATATCGAGGGCAGGCAGGCAGGCAGGCAGGCAGGTGGGGATTATTGTTGATTGCTTCCACGCGGGCGCGGCGCGCTCGACCGCATCACCATGCACAAGACAGGCGTGCCTTCACAGGGTAGCTGGGCCGCCAGGCAGCTCTTACCAGTGCCAGCTTCTTCTTTGTTACTTTTGCTTGAGGGCTGCGCAGGCAGGCGAGGCAAAGTACGGGTGAAAGGTTGGGGTCAGTACGGGAGTGGATTATCGCCGATGCACACGTGCAGCGCACAGAGCGCCAGCACGCACCACCAGGAGCGAGGTCCTCTAGGGGTGCCACCGACAAGGGTTCGTTTGCGGGCCGCGCATGCATTTGTCGAGAGGACAGCTAAAATGGAGGTATGCATACTTGTGCGATCTAGGTGGGCCAGGCACAACAGCCGGCTGGAACGCCAGCAATGAGTCGCGCGTGGTTGGGCGTCACCAAACATGAACATTAATACCACGGGGAAAGCCTCCATGCTCCGCGTGCAAAAGCTTCTGGCGTACAGCAACGTGGCCTCCTTGTCTGCCACTTGTATATGCGTCCCCTGTGGCGTGGGCCTGTGCACAGGCAGCCCCAGGACG